ACATCAATGAATAATTTTTAATCTTCGATCAATTTTTTTTTTTACTTTTAAAATAATCGGATTAAAATCTGTAATTGTTGAAAAATCAGGCGAGGGTTATGAATTGATTCCCTAGAAAACTGCCAACATTGAAAATCAGATGACATTCCGACTGAAATTTCAAGAAATTTCTAACAGTGCAAAATCGTGTTTATTTGAAAATTAACTACCAAATGATAGTTGGTTCAACTAAAATTCTCTTGATAAAACTAATTTCTTCTGTCACTGCACAATCCACAATGAAAGAAATCGAAAAATAAATAAAACAACATGCAGTTTCCTTTATTCATTGCTGTTTACATATCCACAACGTGACTCCGACGAAATTTAAAATAATTCACTTCTCACGGTACAATGGTTCAGAAGAGTGTCAAGGTGAGAGGAGAGGGGGAGAGTACATAATAAACAGGAGCACTGAATTGTTGACACTCTGACACGAGCCTCATGAGCACGTGTCATGATTTTCTAATCGGCTGCGAGCGGCGAATAAAACGAAAAACAAGGGCATCAGATAAAAATGCATATCTCAAACTCGTGGCGTCAACCTCAGGAAAAGACAGTTGAGGTACCCATGTGTGTGTGTGCGTGTGTGTGGGGGGTACCTAGTCGCTTCATAAATAACTCGACTAGGCCGGCCCAGTCTCTAGGTTTTGCTCTTTTGCCCACGCGCTAGCACTGCAGTGAGAGAGATTTTATTTAACATTTGGGTTTTTTTTCTTCATCACGGACGGATTGAATGTTTAATTGTGCGGAGGAAATTTAATAGTTGCTTTGGCTGGTATAACGTGCGATTTGTATTATGAAATGCCTCATGATTGTGTGAAAAAAGTTTCACAAATGACAACATGTCACGAAGAAAATTTAATATCTTTCACAAAAATTGAGTTTTTGTCGTGATCATCAGAAAAATTGTTACAAAAAATCGAAATGTTGGTAGGAAAAAATATAATCTATTGTACGACAATCATTTGATTTGACGAGGAAGGAATATTTTTTTCTCAAAATAAAATTGTGCCCTCGAAATTATTTAGTTTTGCCAGTAACACAGTTTTCAACAACAAATTCGTAGTTTCCTCTTGAAATTATCATTCGTTCCATGTAAATTATAAGTGTTTATTGGACAAAGATATACACTACTCAATGACATTCGCTTGATAAAACCAGAGCCTCATATAAATCAGAAAATTATTATGTTTTGGTGGAACTTTTCCTTTTTTGTCCACAGCGACATTGAATTGAATTTACAAATTTTCCATTTAATAATGCATAAGTCCATCAATTTCTACGGAATAACCGAACTAATTTGTCCATAAAATAGAGAATTTACCAATTCCTTGCAACTTTACTAGAATTGTGCACTCGATAATAATTTTAAAAAAATGTACCAGAAATTTCCGTTAAAATAAACTCACAAAACATGCAGAATTCCTCGAGAATTCCCCCATATTGATCTACTTGAACTGAATTCCTGAAATTTTTCTCGCCTAGAAAATAGAAAATCTCTCCAACCACTCGACCATAAAAATTCCATGCAAATCTTTAGTCAACATAGTGAACATTACAGCTGACCATCGTAAAAAATGGGAGTTAATGCCGGTAAAGTGAAGTTCTCATTGGAATAATTTGTCGACTCGACTAATGTTTCAGCCTTGACGATCGCACCTCGCGTCTTTTAAGCGTCACATCGATTGTAAGAGAGGGCAAATATTTCCTCCTCAGCGATTATTGCGATGGGACACTCTAATTATTTCAGTTCCACCAGTGGAAATAACGAAAGCGCTGAATCTGACGTTGCGATCGTGGGAAAAAAATCGTGATGTCAGAATACTGATTCCTCTCCGCGAATAAAAATAATAGCAGTTCATTTATTTTCCTACGTTTCCTCACTATCTCATTAATAAAAAAAATAACGGAGCTAATTACGTCGTAACTTCACAATTACGATGATAACCCCATTTTGAAGCTCGCAGAATTGAAAATTCAGGTAATTCACGTAATTGATGGTGTAATCAAGCGAATGAAGGGCTCCGCAGACCCACCAGAATGAAGTGGAGGAAGGGGCACACTTCCTAGACTGTTAACCATCCCTAGGAAACACTGGACGGGTCCATCAGAACCACCGAGAGCAAATAGGTCGCACCTGCCTTCGTTTATACAACTCGAGAGCTCCTTTTATTTTCTCCTACTCGTAAGAGTGGCCCCAATGACAATGTGTGCGGTATTCTCGCTCCCCCCGAGTTCATTGCCCTCACCTCGCTCCTCTCACTCACTCTCTCATCCCTCAACTCTTTTGTAACCGAGTACAATAGTGAACATTTATTAACTATGGGATTAATTAGACGAGGAATTAATCCAACGCGGCTAACGTAGCAGAACCGTGCTAATACGCATCAGGTGTTTCTTTGGTATGGATTTTTTTAATGAATTAATATCGTCAAGTGAATTTGTTGCACTTGGGGGAGACTGGTGAACATTTTCATCTGAATTTTACGTGCCACATGACGGAAATTTTTAGCGGGTTTAAGTTCCATTGATCGTTCAGGAAATTTTGTTACTGAAAAGTCAAATAAACCGTTGATTTTCTGGCCGAATGATCTGGAAATCAATCAAATACTCGATTTTTCGGTTCAATTATTCTGGGGAAATTCAGGAAAATTCAGGGAAATGAATTCATTCACAGACATTAATTGAGAATTCATGTCGTTTTGTTTCTGAATATTCATGTGCCACTGACATTGTTCATAATATTAGCCACTGATGACATCCATTTATTCCCTTTTTTTGGACTTTCCTCCATCAATCATTTTCATAGATGTCAGGTATACAATTTTCATAATCCTTTTTAAATGCATATTGAGAAATGAACAGACAGTTCCCGACGGATTTAGAACCATCTCGCTCGTGGATGCCTAATTATTCAAATGAAAAAAACGAAATTATAAGCCACAAATGGATGAATGAAGAATTTCATTGGACAAGACTCTTCGGCATCAAGACAGCTGACGAATAATCAAGATAAACACTCCGACACGTGACACTGTGAGTTGTCACAATACACTGACGACCAACAAACGTATTTTTCGCTTCTCTATCACAAATAGAATCGTACACTGCTGATTATACAGTGTCTGGCATGTCGTAGGTCGCCAGACGCTCCGTCACGCTAGGCATACGTCTGTTATCTCTGAAAATATGCATTTGTGACAATACCTCAATGAAAATGCAAGACTAACTCATAGAACTGCGATAATGTCGTGCCGTATCCCAGAATTTTTATGCTACTGAATATTCCGGAGTGACTGTTTCCACATGGAAAGACACTCTTTAAAAATATTCTAGTGCTCGGACTGGAAAAATAATTCTACTGCTGTTAAGGTAAAATTTCGAGGGATTTCTGATAAAATTTCCGAGGATTTCAGTAAAAATTTCGTACAACAACGGGAAAAATTCACGTGCTCTTCAATAAAATTTTCAGTGCTGAGACTGGAATTTTTCCCTGGCGTAATTTTTCTAGAGAATTTCCCTCCGTGCACCGGGAAATTAATTTCATTATAACAATCACTCATAACACTTCGTCAGTTGATTGCATATCGACAAGAAATTTAACTTTACGTTGCAAAAAAATTTACGTTAAACTGCCGATGCGCAGCTCCGAAATTTTTAACAAGTGGCATTTTTTGAAATTTCAGAGAATCTCGGAATTGAGAAATCATTTTTTCCAAAAACCAAAAAAACAAAAAACAAAATTTTTACTCGTTCAGCACGGATACTAGAGACTGCGAGTTGGACCCCCCACTAGCACCAACTCTCCCGCGAGTCGTGGCGCGTGTCAACCTTGCCTTGTCCTTGAAACCACGCGACCGCGACCGTATGCCACCCGAGCGCTTTTATATGCTACTAAGAGCCCCTTCCACCGTAAACCGTAGCCATGCACTTCATGCATTCGTACGTAAATTGCGATTGAATTTTTCACCGCTGAAACCGCTGATTATTGAATACATCAGAATTTCATTAGCCTAGCAGCCATTCACCTGGGAGCATTCACGTGCTCCAATTTCAACTCGTCAAAGTAAATTGTCAATTGTCTTTCGACATTTCTCACGGTCACACCGCACGCGAAGTCTACCCAAGATAATAGACTTATCAAAATTGGAATGATAGACGACTTTTTATCGTTCGCGGAACGACACCAATATCTCTCAATCAGTCTGGATCCAATCGTTCATTCCAGGGCAATAGAATTGATTGATCTGTTCTGCCTTATCGTCCGCACGATGATGAAAAACCTTGAATTTATTACTCAGGCGCTTGATAATGCCCACACGTGCGGTCTTCTCAACTCGTGAATTAGACTTTTTCCATAAAACCCTTTCGGCAATTTCTCGTCATGTATTGTGCACGCGACCCTCGACTCCTCTGACGCCAAGAGATACGAAATTTCTTAAAAAAGAAATGATTACTCTGGTTATCTGTTGTTCCTTAACACGCGCGCGCATTGTAATCGGTTATCGGGTTAATGGAGGCTACGATTACAGTGAGTGTTGAAATTAATTTTTATTTTAGTCAACAAAAATCATAGACGTTATTAACGAAGCGGTGAGATCACTCACTCGGGGGGAAAGGAGTTTTATTTTTGACGGGATAGGGTTCCGGGGTCTGGTGGTAGGTGGCAGCAGGGCTTTGGTTAGGGCCCGGGATTTTTTGGGCCCGTGGGGTGGGAGTAAGGGCCTGGAAGTTGGAAGGAGTGACGGCGGGTGGCAGCACCTTGCTGAATCAGTCCTTCGGACACCTCTGCGGAAGAAACTTCGAAGAGTCTGATGTATTCTAGGAATTCAAAACTCTTAATCTCTCTCAATCTAGATTTTCTCGACTTTTGTTTCAATTTCAGATGTTCTGTACGATTTTCTTCTCTTTCTGATACTCAATACGTAAGGGTCAGGGTAAATGAGGAAAGAATAATGTAAGTTTGAACAGAGATCAATATTTATTTTGATACTCGTAAAGTATTATTAAGCGTGTTGTTCTATTATCCTCACAATAACCTTATAAACTCAATCTTCATCTCAATTTGCACTCATAAATATAAATAAGAACACTCTCTCTCCCTGGAAAAATATCACCTTCCATACAAATCTGATAAACATCCATAAATCCTTAAACGTAAGTAGAATCTAAACTTAGTACAATAATATACAAAATGAAAAATCCCCAATACTCTCATTCCTCTGAAATATTATACACACATTTGTATTCATTATTCAACACTCCTCCGGCGTAACTACATCCCAACATCTATCTACATTACAAGAAACGCAAAAATGAATTAATGGAAGACATCGGTGATTCTTGTTGCGTAAGGCACTTAAACATAACGATAACTCTAAATCATCTATTTACACCCACCAAACTCATCATAATCGTGAATTATTTCTGTAAAACTCATGGAAATTAATCTCAACCGAGGAAACTATGTACAAGGCACTGTATAAGGCACAGCCTCATAGGCTACTGACCATTGAAAAGAATAATCTTGACAGCGTATAATAAAAACTAAATCTAACAACCCTTAAACGCTTCCCGAGCTTTAAACCGTTGTTTCTTTTAAATAAACATTAACGACTTGCGACGTGACCGACTAGCGGCTTCAGTCAGTAGAACCCAAGGGGGTAATCACTCCGAATGAACTCGTACCACCGGATTTCAAGGAATTCAAATGCCCCAAGCCCCCAAAGACACTCTGCGATATTTCATATACTTCCGAGCGACTGAAGTCTTCCTTTCCTCATTTCACGGCACTTTAACCCCTCACGGCCGCGGCCCTTCTGTTACCAAGCGTGTTGAATTCGATCATTTCTAATCAACGAAAAATTATGAAACCGATTTCTAATTGAAGCTACAGTATTCCGCTTTCCAATTTTGTCTGTGTGATCAAGTTATTCTTCAGATTTGGAAATAGTTAATTTTGAAAACAAGCGTTCACATTCGCATGGCTCGATAGCACGCGCTGACCCCGCGAGGGGTTAACATTGTTCGTCCACGAAATTTCACGAGTGATTGCCCCCTCGGTAGGATCACTAGTTCATCGAGAACACAAAACTGCACAGGTGCACCTAGATGACGGTTTACCAGGGCCTCCAGGGCTTGCCCTCGATCTCAGGCATGACGCTCTTCCTCATGACGAGGGCGAGGGGTTTCTGGAGGGGTGGGCTGTAGAGGGTGGCCCTGGCATCGAACTCGGGATCGCTGGTGTAGCCATTAGCCGGTGATGTCGCGACGTCTCGGTGGCTCGTGGTGTAGGCGGGCGATTGCTCCCGAAAATTGGATGGTGGCGCCTCGAAGGCGACAGGACTCGCAGCCGATGTGGACGTCGAGCTCGTTGAAGAGGTTGAGGACGAGGCGGACGCTGTGCTTGCTGTCCTCTGGGGGATGGGTATGAGCGTTGGCAGGGGCGACGACGGCGCTGGGGACGAGGCTGGCGACGTCACTGGGGTCGCTTTTGCACCTGCTGGCAATACCAGGGCGATGTCGCCGTTGGGGAGCCTCGTTGGCACCAGTTGGAGACCGGTACCGTTGGCATTCGTGAAGAAGATGCCGTTGGACTGCTGCACTTGGATGCGCGGGGTTGTGTCCACTTGCGGCAGAATGTGAACCTGGAGTTGCGTTGTTGGCGGCGATGGCTGGACCACTGCTGGCGTCGACTGGGAGGTCGTGGTACTCTCTACTGGTCCCAGGCAAGATGCCAAGTGGGACATCAGACGACGTTTTACGGAGGCGTCGAGACCGGGAAATCTGCCAACTTCACTCGCGCACTCCGTAAAACCAGCACGAAATTTGTTTAGAACTGATGGATCGGTTGCCGCTGCCAGGGCTACCTGTTGACGCTGGAGGGTCTCTAGGTGTTTCACTGTCATCTCTAGGATGTCCGCTTTTTCGAGCTTTGAGTGGCGCGCTGGCTGCAATCATAAAGAGGAACAAATGGTTAATGGAATAATTTTTTTATGAGAATTAACCATTTTTTTTTACCTGACCGTTATCATTTTTTTTATCGGGTGGAAAATATGGCATTCAAAGTTTTTTTTATTGTACTGTTTTGTTATTGAATAGAACATTTAAAATTTAATTGACTTTGTTAAAAGCTCGAATCCTATTTTTTTTTGGAACTCGAAAAATTTCAATTCCCGAGAAATGTTTGGGATTCAACGGTTTTTTTATTTTTGCCAATATGATACGTAAGACACTTACGTCTTTTTTCATGGCATCAAGAATGAGTGTCTTAAGCTCATTAAGACAATTATTAATCCTGGCTCGTCGTCTCTTCTCCATAATAGGTTTATTACTCCGTCTATTTTCGCCAGATCGTCTGGTACTCGTTCCACTTGTATTAGTTTGCGCAGGCGGCTGTCCAGCCTCCTGCGGCACGTGTGGTGCTGGTGGTGTTGAGCCCACCGAAACACCACCCGAGGGCATCGTAGCACCCACTCCAGTCACCATTGTTCAATATCAATGAACTTTTCCTCAATACAATCACAAATAAAATTCCACTTCTTCCACCACTTTGCACAGTTAATCCAACAGTTGCGTGACTTGAGCACAAAATGTCGTTGAATTTAATCCAGAAAGAGTTGACACCTGAACTCCCAGAAGGTCAAGTGAAATTTTAATTTTCAGTGACGAGAGAATTATCAAGAGCCCAATGAAAAATTCTCAACTTCAATGTTGTATTGATTCAGAGAACGCGGGGAAGGTTCGACCTCTCGCTCAGCGCGCAAGAGCTCGACTGACTCAACGAGACGGCGAAACGATTTGTGTTGGCTCAGTCGGAGCATAGCGAGGAGCATTGGAATGCCCCGAGAGGTAGCCAAAAGCCACCGCAGGAGTGGGGAGAGACGATCGAGACCTAGTGGGGGTTAGCGCGCGTGACGTTTACCCCTGGACGGTCTGTGCATTTGTTACCCCCACCACTGGCAGCTTTTTCAACGTCACCGGAATTCCGACAGTTCGGGGCGCCCCCACCACATTTTTCGTGGATTCCCCCCACTCCTGGGACCACCGTTGGGCCTCGGGGGCATGCGTGCCGGCGATTAATCGAAGGACTTCTCGCTTCGATACTCATCCGCAAGAAAAACTGTTCTTTAGCATAAGATTTTTTTAATTATCAAGAAATGTTATGCAATGGGAGTGGGTGGGGGGAGGGGGGCAGAAGGGGGAGGGGGCCTTGCGGCCCAGTGACTTGATGGTGACGATAACTAGCGCCATCTCCGGGATTCGCGGGAGTTGAAAGTGCAGACGTAATAGACTTATATCAGCGCAATTTTTTTTCACTGTTTGTCTCGAGTACTGAAATAACTTGAGGATGCTTGGGGGTGTGGTGACGCGGAGGTTTGTTGGCACGCGTCGTTATTTCCTGTCTCGCCTACACTCCGATAAAAAACATCGAAAGAGTAAAAAAGGGAAACAAAAAAGTGAAATGAAAGAGAGAATTTAGTGGAGCTAGTATTTTCCATTTTTCTCTTTCTCCCTCTCATCTCCGCGGGGGAAAATGTAAATGAGGGGAAGGGATAATCCGGAGTTGGTGGAGGAGAAGGAATACACAAGAGGTTTTATCCATAAAAAGAGACGGCACAAAGCGCTGAGGCATCTTCACAGTGCGAGGGAGACCGATCGAGGGGAATCGGAATGAGTGAGAATGAGAGGGTAGAGTCACGCCGCCAATCCGAGTGGTGGGATTCGACGCGGCGCGCGACAGACGCACGCTCATTGGTCGATACAACTGTATACCACCCCCCACCACGGAAAACACAACTGTACTGTGTGAGCGTGCCGGGCGCGATCCCGCTCGTAACCGGAGGAAGGGGAAAAAAATCCGTCAATTTCAAGTTCTAGCGTTTTCACTTCTAATGCGCGATACCGCGCGTAACCCCCGCGTACTCGACGCTGCGACGCGTGGGACGCCGTGATTTGGAACGTTTTGAGGTGGGATTTTTTTAGAGCGCAGCGGCGCCGGCGGCGGGGGGGGGGGTGATTACAGGAGAGGATTTAGAGCGGATGAAGAGGGGGATTCGCGTTAGGATTGAAATGGTTTAATTGTTCAATTATGGTGTACTGTGTTTGTCTAATTAGGGGATAATTAGTAGCTACTGATTTTTGCTTAGGGACATGGTGATTGAAGGGTGATAAATGGTCTTTTTAGGTTTTTTGCGGTATGATCTCTCATTTATTATCAACTTTTCAATTTGCTCTTTTTTTATTTTATATTTTAACGTTACTAAAATGGATTTCTATAACCAAAGAATGAGGTCTTTCGATTTTCCTTCAACTTTGTATAATAATATAGTAATATTTATTGCATCTGTGCTCTTGCACTTACACTAGGGGGAGACCGCACGGCCCTAGTACATCAGTCCCCAGCCCGTTAAAAACAATCTATAGAAATAATCACATAGATGTCAACTACTCTGTAATTAACTACCATTCGAAAGCTTCCATACGTAAAACAGAGAACACAACGGGGAATCCATAGATTAAGAAATTGCGTCAGAACATGGAGTTCCATTAGAAAATTCATGAAGATGTGGAAGTTGAGTTTAAAATTTCAGCATTCTTTCAATTCAACATCTTCAGAAATATTCTTAAATCAATTTAATGCACGTTATTGCGAAGCGATCGCAACTCATAAATAAAAATGACAAAATTTATGCAATTTTGTCGTTGTTAAAAATTTCAAGATTGCTCCCTTCACATTACAAAACTAATTTTCTCCCAGTGTGAGGGAGCATGCGCATCTCTATCAGAAAATAATCCATAACGCGTAACTGGCACCACCTACCGGTGCTCCCGCGAACTCCTGGCTCGGTGGGATAACCCGTGGACCCACGGTCGGATGAGATGACCGCGTCGGATGCATCAGCGGTTCAACTACCCCCGAAAACCCCCAACGGCACCGACTCCACCTGTCAAACCCGCTCCACTCAGCAATCCCCGTAACGATTGAGCCCCATGATAACAGCCCAACGCCAATTTCCCCTCCCCCCAGCAGCAATAAACGGTCGTTTAGCTCGGCTGACGCTACTGTGCGCTCGTTGAGCGAATTAAAAGAGCAAGACTTCCGGTTTCGCACGTCAATAACGGCATACATCGGGGGCAATTTGCGTTAGCGATAGTTGGTTTAGGAATCAAATGGAAATGATTCAGAAAATTCTAATGCAGCGGGAGCTACTTGGATACTCGAGCGCGGAATGCGGTGAGTGGATGTTAATTAAGTCGTAATAAATTTTCACAGTTGGACGAGCGCGTGAGGCACATTTGCCGTTTACAACCCGTCATCCAGTGCGCGTTTGATACGTTTGACGGGTGTGAGGGTAATACGGGCCTCTCGCGTCATTTACCAATGGGGTATTATCAAAGCAACAGATTCGCAGGGGCGTATGAGTACGTTGCCACCTGTTGTCCAGTGGGGAGGTTAGGGCATTTGATTCATTAGCTTTATGGGTACAAAGTGCGTTTCGTTGGTGCTTTGCCGCTGCCGAGGATAAAGGCGAGACCGCGGGACTTTACTCGTGGGCTATAGCCTGTGGTTAAAATGCATTAATTTAATGCGTCACTGCGTGTGGCATTCTCGGGGGGAGATTGGCTTCTCACGTTGGTTTCCTTATGAGGGGTTTCATTTCGATCGTGAAATAAATTTGGAATGAAGGGCGCGGGGAATAGCTTGAGGGGGGCGATGATTTGGTGGGGTTTAATGGATTTAGAGGAAGATTCATTTTGAGGAATGAAAAATGTTATTATGGGAGCAAGTGGGAGTTGGAGGCGTACTTTTTTTTTGTGATTATAGTTTGACTGAAGAGGAGTGCTTTCCGCACTCGAAATATTGGGTACCAAATTTCAATTAAATGGTGGTATTGTTGCTGGATGTGAACGCAGAGTGGCCCTGGAAGGAGTTTTATTAGAGAAAAAAATAGCTTTAGCGGAAAACTAGGGGTTTCGTGTGGAATATTTGATGGAGTGGAACAGATTTAATTGAGGGAAATTAGCCAACGATAGAAGGAAAGAAAATGGAACGTTTTATGGAAAAATCAATGGAAATTGTAAATTTTAGTTTAGTGGGATAAACATGAATGGGAATCAGGGAAATTCAAGTGAATATAGTCTTGAATTTTTAATTAATTGAACATTCAGCGTAATTTGGCTGTGAATGTTCACTTCTTGATTGAGGATTCAAGTGAGTGCACTCACTTGGGGGGATCCCCCATGGGGGGATTCTCGTCTTCAGCTACTACGAAATGTTCAATTTCATTGAATTTTAACTAAATTATAATATTTCATGATTTTTGTATCTCTAAATGGATTCACTGTTCCTCTACTAGAAATTCCTAGTCAATTGTTTATGAAATTTTCTGTTTTTTTGCACTGTATTGTATGATCGATGTATTGTAAGATCCAAATGTTTGTGCAAATAAATGTGAATATTTCTAAATGTGTTCAAAATCCGGGGGAAAAGTTGGAAGTCTAATTTTTCGGGAAAATTCATGAAATAGTCGAAAAATTTGTTGGAACATTTTCAAAAATAACGAGTGAAATCCTGAATAATTTGTGAACAATCATTTAGTTCAAGTGAATAACAGATTTTACTTTGGGAAATGTGAATTCTCCTGAGAAAAAAACCAGTATTTTGCAATTAAAAACCGAATTTACGACCTTGAAAATCCGAAAATGTTCCGCATTCGTGTATGAAAGGAGAGAGATCTTATTTATCGGTGGATCCCAGCGGGACGCCAATCTCGAATATTTTCGTCACAATGAGTGACAAAAACTCTTGCAAAATAATCATGCAAATTTTTCCCCTCGTCCATTCACTTTTGATGATCGAGTTCCACCTTCACTCCCCTCCATTCGCATAATCGCCCTCGGCATTATTTGCACAACCGATAATAATGTTAAATTAGTAGTCGCCGGTTGGGGAAAAAAAATGAGAGTGCACATGTGGTGCATGGACGAAGGGCCACTTTACGAGCCGCCCGTGGCCAGGCAATCACGATCTGGCGGACATACCGTTACAATCACATATTCGAAGTTCAAAGCCACTCCGTCGATGATTTTTGGTCACAATGAGAGGATGCACATTCTTTATTAAAGATGCGCAAAAGTTCTCGCCACACTGATGGTAGAAATGATTGGTTATTGTTAAATAATAATTCAGTTTTTGATTGGAATGGGCATTGAAGACGAAAATGATGTGCCCAAAGACCATTCAGAAGCATATTGCTAATTTATTTGCAAAAATATCGATACTGTATGAAAAAAAATAGATGAATAATCAAGAAATAGTTTTGAACTGTTCTGTAAACCCAGGAAACTGGTTCATTCGAATTCAGTAAAGTTTATTGATTCCAAATAAATCGTTCCTCTGGGTTTAGTCTATCAGATACCTATCAACTACTGCGGTATTCGGGGTTACGTCAGACACTTGTCACCAAAATGTGGGGAATATCTGTCAAAATAAGAGAACAATTGATAGATCACTGCGGAATTATCAGTTTGATATCTCACAGCTGATTAGATTGCGAAGACGATCGTCGCAGCGCTTTTAGTTACTCACTTGTAACTTTTTTTTTATTCTACTTGAGTTTTTCCCGACTTTTTTACCCTCTATATGACCCTCGCATTTCACATTTCACGAATCAGGGAGTTTACGGAGCCAATATGGGGCTTTTTCCACTCCTTTGAACCCTTAAAAAACATAACTTGCAGGATCTCATGCGTTTCCTGAGTTTTATGCTTTTTTCGTCTAGAAAAAAAATTGGTAAAAA